CCCGCTGACTTGGGGACCAAGCCCTGTGTGGAGCCAGAATCAGGGAGTTGCTCTACACCATGAACGCCGTCGAGCCGAGCGGCGAGGCCGATAAGGAAGCAGCAGACGAAAAGCGGGCTTTCAGCAAGGCCCTCAAGGCCTTCAGTGACAGCGGGGCGCGCGTCAGCAACGTGAAGGCGCTCATCCCCTTAGTGCTGATGCTGAGCCAGGTCCCGGGAGCCCAGGGCTTGGGCCTAGCAGGAGCCAGCTTTACAGACGATGAGTTGGCGCAGCTGATGGTTACGCTGGTGCTTGGGGCAGTGGTGGTTTTGGTTTTCTGGGGCATACCTTATGCCGCCTACAAGCTACTTAGGTGGAGCTTGCGGCTCGTTTTCCGGAGCAGAGGAAGAACCACCACCGGCACCCAGACGGAGCCAAAGGAGGAAGAGCGGGACCAGCAGAGGACGCAAGCAGTTCAAGCCAACCGGGGCATGAGCAAAGAGGAGAGGTTGTTTTCAGAGGAGTATGTGAGACGGTGTACAGAGCTTGAAGCCCTCTACGCCGAGAAGTGCAGAAAGGAAGAGGCTTGCTGGCGTGAGCTTGCAGAGCTGAGAGAGGAGAACCGGAGGCAGCGAGAGGCCTTTGAAAGGCTGAGGGCCCGGCGAGCACCTGAAACGGTGCATGTAGCCACGAGCAGGGGCACACGATTCCATCTCCCCGGTTGCGGTCACATTCGTAATTCTCAAATCAGAACATACCATCCATGTCGTGACTGCATCGGGGCGAATGGCTAAGTGTTGCCGAATTTCTTCATGCGGCTCGCAAGCCTGTAGATAGGAGGGCATGCGAGCCGAGGCGGGGTGCAACAAGAGTCACCCCATGTCGGATCATACGCACTATCCACTGCAGCCCTGGATTCAGCAGCGAGGGAAAAGAATTTCAAACATCGAAATCGGCTGGTACTCTTGCTCCGTCAAACATTTTGGGAAAAATGTTTCTGATACTGCAAGATCCGTGGGAATTCGGGTTGGATCTCACAAAGTTTTTGGGCTTTCTGCCCCTCGCTTTCCCCGGCTAAGGTCCGCAGTTTACATCCCCACCACCCGAGCTTTCTCGTCTTTCTCGTCCAGGGTCATGCGTGCGAAACTTGATATGCGAGCTTTCCAAATGAAGCTGCTGCGAGTGCCGTGCACTGACCATTTTTTATTCTAAAGGCCCGAAGCGAGGTGCACACGATGAGTGACTGATTGCATTCACTGTTGGCCATCTACACGCGCGAACGCAGAGGTAAGCAAGCGTTGGAAGCAAACAGAAAGAAGGCTAGGAAGCGGGCCACCACTGTTGTGCGAACCTAAGCCTATGCGAAACATGGCTGCAACGTTCAATCCTCAGCCAAGCCATGCGTGAGCACCACTTCCTCCCGAAACTGAGAGGGATGGCTCGCTTGGCAGATGCTGAGAGAGTTACCCAGCTCGCCGGTTCCAGGACGTAGTCATCCAGATCATGCGGGCATGAAACATGAGCTCCTAAGGGGCACTCCTTGGCGAAGTGATGTAACGTTTCAGCCTGCACCGGACGAGTGACGCCGAAGTACCCTGTCTTCAAGATCCCACAAGGAAGGGCCCACGCAACCAGAGAGCCCAGGTACCGGTACCGATCGGTGCGAGGCAGAAGTTTTCCATGCAGCATGAGCTCCAGGTCAGCTGAGTTTGCCTTCATTGAGACAGCAGATTTGTCGATGCCAATGTCATGCGGATGCCTCCTGCCCAACTCTCCGCAGAATCCAGAGCTGTTCGTGCACGCACCGGGTCTGCATTCAACAGGGCTACATCATCCACATAGCCAGCTGCAGGGAAGTTTAAGCATTCACCAACGAGGCTGAGGTTGCACGAGCCCGGCTGCGGGATACCACAGGACACTCCGAAACCACCTTCAACCAGTGCTTGGTGCAATGTAGCTGCTCGGCTTCATCGGGCATGGGTGGCAGACAAGGAGGCACTGTAGACCAACCGTCGTCGAGATCAAGAATCTGCTCCGGAGCTGTCCATCCCATTGACGTCTGTGACCACACGAACTCAATCCAAATATGTTTTGCAGTCTCATCATCAAGGACCTCCTCGCCAACTGTAATGAGATTGGAGGCTGTGGCCTTGGGTTTCATGAAGTCATCCCGCACTGAACGGTGTACATCGCGGCAGATTACCAAGCGCCGTCGATGGAATTTGCGCGTGAGACGACACACGCTGCGCCGGTGCGTCCGATGCAAGCTGGAGCCACGGGATGTGTTGGGCTTGGTGTATAGTGACGTGAAGGCTTGGAGGCATGGCGCTTAGCCTTACGCCTGCACTCAGTTGCCATGTATCACCTATGCTTCTCGCTTGGTTGTTCAGGTGCTGCCGCGGCCGGCCCTTGCCGTAGCTCCCCGCACATTCCGTGCTACTGCTTCTCCTCCATGCTCGGGTGTTGGACTCAGGGCAGCTGTAGTGCATCGGCTACATCGGTCGCTGGCAGCGGAGGGGAGAGCCAGCATTCCTTCAGCTTTAAAACCTGTCCGTCTTGCAACATCCGAACGTGAAAGTCGGACAGGACAGCAGATTGATTGCTGCAGGGCTATCGGGGCATAGCTGTGCCCGGTCGGCATCGGGTAAGTTAATGCCGCGGCATTTCTAGTGGCATGGCGATGGAGTAGGGCTTCCTGGGCCAGGCTTGGGAGAACAGCCAGGCTATTGACTTTCGCAGTTTCTTGGCTGCGTGGGAGTCTCGAGGTCCTGCTCTTCAATCGGTGGCGCCTAGCTGCCGAGTCGAAGGTGCAACTCTCAAAGCGTGTGTTGGCCTTGGTGTGTAGTGTAGGCTTGGAGGCACGGTGCTTAGCCTGACCGGTCTGCAGACACCTTCTGCCCCGGCAAGAGGCTCTAAATAGCGCCAGGCCCAAATACAGGCGCTTGTGACTCCAACCTGTTGAAAGAGACCTCTGCAAAGCCCAGGTCGAGCGGGCCCTCCTGCAGTCGACCTGATAGCACCGCCCTCTGAAGTGAAGCATCTTTGAGGAGACCATAGGAAACCGCCTACCTTGTTCTGAGGATGTAGTCAAGCTTGGACCCAAATCCAGATGCTGTCGCCACCATTCTCATCGATGATTCTTTCTACATTCTGCAAATGCCCTCCTTGCGCTTTCCATTATCTTGCACTTTGTTACTCCTAGTCCAGTCCAGTGGATTCTCGTGGTGCATCACCGACCACATGTTTTCAGGTAGGAATCAATGACGAGGTCCATCGCAAGTTGTGACGGCCTAAGGTGTCGGTCACTTGCCCCAGGAGCTCGAGTCTCACACGCAGCAGCTGGGCAGAGGCGTGCTCAATCGGATCAGGACCTGACGTGACGCAGTGTAGACTGCTCGAAGAACCGCAGGCGCAGACAGAGTCGTCATCCCGAGGAGGTTGGCAGCTGGCCTCTCGACTGCGAGCAGGGGTGCCATGCGAAGGGCCTCCACACATAGCCGGACGATGGAGCTGCCAACAACACCTGCAGGTTGGCAGTGCTCTCTTCGCTGCGAGCAGCTTTTTCTCTGTCAGAGGCCGGCACTTCTTTTCCTGGGCGCTGACACTTCGGGTTGTTGTTGTCGCAGCCTTCTAATGCATATTTTGAGACATTTGTCCCTGCCTGCATGAACGGAACAATCGTCCGGAATGTCAATGAAGGATTCAAGGCCAAAGGGCAGAGGAAGCAGGAAACAAGTAGGTGCTCGCCGTGTCCGCTTTGCAGTGAAAGTGATTCCAATTCTAACCAGAGTTCAAAGGGATGTTTCTTTGGTATTGCACTTCTGTTGACACACCCTTCCACTCGTCTATGACCTAGTGTATGATATAGTTTGTGCGGACAGATGTCTCGCTAGATTCCTGCCAGGATCCTTCGCCGGCCCTGGGGTCAGCTACCGTGTCCGTCCCTGAGCCCTGTTCCGCCGTCAATGAGGCTGACACAGGGGTCTACGCTAGAGTAGTTGGGTGTCTTGGGGTTTGGGCCACTGCTGAGCTATTCGAGGCTTTGATAGTGTTTTGGGAGTTGCGTGGGATTGCGCTTTGTGCTTGGGGGCCCGCGGTGCTGCGCCTAAGACCCTGCTGCCAACATCCCGAAAGCCTTCAGGCTTCTCTGAGGCCAGCGAGTGCTAGTCTACGAGATGTTTCCGGGTGTCGGCCCGGGCCGCTGGGTTGCGCTGGAGTCCGAGAACCTCCGGAAGCTGGCTGTCCGTGATGGTGGGGGCTTTGAGGCTGCTGGCTGATTTCAGATTTGGAGACAATTGTAAGGCTTCGGTTTCGTCTTCGGGGTCCTTCTAGGAGTCCGGCGTGCTTTGCCGCTCCAGATCCAGTCTGTGTTGTGTTTTGAGCCTCCTGAGTCTTCTGAGATCTCAGCTTTGCCCCAGTTTGGGTTGAGTTTGGCATTCTGGGCTTCTGGTCAAAGGTGTAAGGCCAAGGGCAGGGCTTGCCGGGAGTACGAGGGTCGGCTTCGACTCTTGATCCTGTTGTCTGTTGGGTGGACTGAGTTGTGTGAGGCTGGCTTTTTGTTATCAGGGTATGGGAAGTCTTTGTGCCTGTCAGGTTTGCACAGTCGGGCTCTGTAGCCTGGGTTTATGGTGACTTGCCAGTGAGGAGACATGGCAAGTGTTTGCATGACTTCTGCAGAGTTTCGTGCAGAATTATGTTTCAGACATGGAAATACAGATGCACATGTACATACATGTGTGTATGTTTATTTCTGAGAGTGCACGGGGTGATCCTGAAATACCATGGAAGTTGCCAGTCGCGTGTGCCTGGCCTCCAGAAGGGCTTCGGTTGATTATTGGACTCGTTGTGCCCTCTTTCTCTTTCTGGTTTGGGTTTGGACATTTTCTGCCGCTCTGCCTGGCCCGAAGGACGGATGCCGAACTCCAAGCTCAAGAATTGAGGCATGTTAGGCATTCAAGCAAATGCTGCTGACTCTCACAACGATCTATAAGCTTTTAGCCCCCACGCCCACGCCTTGCGCGATGGCACGCAGAAGCCGGGCGCTCTTGCTCCTTGCCGCTGTTGCCTTGTGGTACATCGAAAGGAGCAGGCGGAAGGATCCGGGGTGCTTTCTTGCGGGCCCGGCAGGTGGAGGTGGCGGCCCACCAGGAGGGGTGCCAGGGCCAGGGCCAGGGTCTGCTTCCTTCCGGAAGCTTTCGGAGCGTGAGGCTCTGTCTGAGTCGAGCGATGCTCCGCCGCTGGCCGCGGAGAGCTCCGTTCCGGAAGAGATCCTGGCGGGCATCAGCGTGGCCTTCTCTCTGCTCTCCAAAGCAATCGCCTGCAGCGCCATCGTGGGCACAGGGCCTTTGGTTGGTTTGTGGTCCTGCGTGGCCCTTGGCTTGGCAAGTCTGGTCGGCATGCGCCCTGGTGTTGTGGCGGGTTCTGCCGCCGTGGTCGTAGTGCCTTTGGGTGCGTTTGCAGCGACGAACGGCCTCGCACTGGTGCCTTTGGTCGTGCTGTTGGCAGCTGCCATAGAGTTTCTGGCTGGCATCGTGGGCTTCGCCAGAACGTTGGATTTGGTCTCCAAAGAAGTGCTAGCAGGATTCTTGAATGCACTGGGCCTGGCACTGCTTGTCTCCCAATCCGCGGCACTTTCCACTCCAATGGGCTTCAGCCTTGCCATCATCTGCGCAGCGCTAACACAGTTCCTGCCCTCGGCGCCCATTCCCTCATCTTTGGTGGGCCTTGCCGTTGCCACAGCCGTAGGCCTTGCCTTCAACTTCGATGTCCCGACACTGGCCATGAAGGCCAAGGACCCCACCGCCTTTTCCGGTGGCCTCGCGGCCCTACCTCCTTTTCAGCTGCCTCAAATGCCTTCCATGGATGACGTGCAGCTCGCGCTTCCTTGCGCCATCTCCATTGCCTTCATTTCCCTCATCGAGACGCTCCTCGCCGCACGCGTGGTGGACGACCGCAAGTGCGAGGACCTTTGCACGTCTCCTGATCGAGAAATTGAGGAGGAGGAGCTGTCGCAATGTTTCTGTTGCGGTGTTACTGTGCCTATATACTTGCCAGCTCTTTGGTACTTGTGAGCCGACCGAGGTTCTTCTATGACGAGAACGGCGAGCTGGTCCAGGGTGGTGATCCCGAAGTACCTTTGCAGGTGGATGTGCCGACCTCCACCGTGCTGTCTCTGGCAGCCGGCAATGCCGGCTCCGTGCTGCTGGGTGGCTTCGGCGGTGCAGGCTTGGTTCCACAGACCGTGCTGAACCTGAATTCCGGAGGCCGTGGCCGCTGGTCCATTGGATCCTATGCAGTATCCATGGTGGCCTTCGCGCTTGTCCTGGCGCCTTTGGTCGGTCAGATCAGTGTTCCGGCTTTGGCTGGCATCATGGTCCAAGTCTCACTGGACACCATCCAGTTCAAACCCACCCTCGACGCCTTCAAGACGGCCTTCGAGGGAAAGGAGGAAGACGCGAATGTCCGCTTGGGAATCCTTGTCATTACTGCGGTGCTCTGCTACCAGGTCGACTTCGCAGTGGGGATTTGCACAGGCGTAGCTCTCGACAAAGGTGCCGAAGCACTCAAATTGAAGAAGGCGGCGAGTTAAGCTTGCTTTAAAACTGCAGAATTTTCGGATGGAGTCTGCCAGAGACGCATTGGCATCTCCATCCTTTCTAGTATCGATTTCCCCACATAACACGATCCCCAAAGGGGATCCCTCAAGGCCTGCGACCAGCTTTAGGTAGCATCTCCACGTCATTCGACCAGCAGTTGTCTTGTGAGTTTCGTTGTTTTCAGCAGGCCAAGGGACCCTTGCGCCCCTGAGTTTTCAAGACAATGCTTCATCTGAGCACATTTGGCAACTGCGTGAGTTGCAGGAGCGGACGGCAGACCGCGCTTGATTTTCCTGGGAATTCTGGTGAGAGACGCTGAGGATGGCTTCAACATGAGAAATTTGGAGCTGCTCAGCATGGCCGTCTTTGTGAAGGGTCCACGCACGGTGCAAGCCATGTGTCTTTCGCAGTGGTGACGATGAAGAAGACGATAATCACGGTGGTGGCGATGATGATGATGATGGTGATGATATGAACGAGGCAATTTCCGATCGGTGCACAGAGAAAGTCTACTCGCTCCACTGTCTCGAGACGTCCTTGTCCTTTACGCTGGTTGCTTGTCCAGTGCTGTTGCAACAAGTTCTCTGTTGCTTTTAAAGCCCACTCTTAAGCAACCAACACATGCAGTGCCCGAGGTCCGCGCGTGGAACGGACACTGCCGTGGACTGAGGCTTTCCGTATCGTCCCAGGAACTTCAGGAATCCTGCCGAAAAAGGAGTTCATCTGACAGCTTGACGGGTTTCGGAATGTAACGACCACGATAATGACGACAGGTGTGCTGCTGATGGTGATGATGGCGGTGATGTTGGTGCTGCTGCTGTCGGTGATTGTGGAAAGCTGGCCTATGACAGTTGCTTCTGGAGGCGGCATGGGGGGCCGTTATTGTGGTGTCTCAGAAGTAGTAAAGATTTGACATGTTGCATTCCAAGAATAAAGTTGCCGGGTCAGATTGACGTGCAAGCTGTCGCACATGACTGCAGCTGTCAGGAAGCATCAAAGGCCGAATCCGCATTTAATGTTGCATAGATGCACCGTCTATGTCGAAAGCCACGTTTCTCAAGGAAGTGCAGTGTGAAGTTTGGATTGGTAGCCAAAGTTCAAGTTCAGTCATTTGAAAGAGCCCTTGGTATGCTTCTGCGCAGAGGGGACCCGCCCCAGCATGCCTAGATGTATTCATTTAGCATTCAATCGCGACTCTAGGTTTAGGGTTACGGGGGGGGGTTAGGCCAAACTTCCGGTGAGGTGTCGGGTGCTTGTTACGTGTCGTTGCATGCCATGCTCTGCATCTGCAACTGCGACGGAACAGCAATCGCCTGCACAGCGGAAGTGCTGCCTAGCGGGTCTTGACACGGAGCTAAGGGGCTGAGGGTTCTGAGTATCAAAGCTACTGGGAGGATGAAGTCACGAGGTGCCCTCAATCTAGGCGTACGTTTACTCTCAGCCTCGCCAGGCTTGCTATGCATCCGAGCAGCACAGTTCGTCGTCGCTCTTGAGCGAGCGCAGAAACCGAAGAGGAGTCATTCCGAGAAGCTGCCACACTGGACCCTCAGTCGATGCCTGGAACAGAAAAGGATTCAACAGCTTGGGATCAAAATGTTGTAGATGGTTTTCGGATCTCCGTGACTCCCATCAAGTCACGTAGGAATTCGAAAGATTGCTTGACATACCAGTCGCTGGTTCAGTTGACAGTCTTTCCGATGAAAATCAATTCAAGTCGTTTAGCGGGCGGGTTTGTGTTCGGATAAACGGTTTCCCAGAGTGTTTCCCTCCCTGTCACCGGCGTTGTCAAATCTCGTGAAATCCTCCACAGCCGTCTCCTTCGAAGGCTGAAAGACCTCGCATGCAGAGGCTCTGCAAAGAGGGACAGGTCAGGTCAGCGGCAGAAGTCCATGCAGTGTTGGTCTGTGTTTGCAAGCGAGAGTATTCTCAGGCATGTCCTTCCAGAGCAGGTGGCCTGACTTGAGCTGCGAGGAGTTCTGCTTTGGCATGGGCGAACAGAGCATACAAATCTAAACGCACTCTGCCGAGCGGCTTGTGCCTGTATGCGAGGGGCTGTCTCAGCCAGATTTGGTGAACCACGTTTTGATACTCTGCGTGCTGTCGGTTCCTCCGTTTCTTGCGCTAGGCGCATGCAGTAGTTCAGATTGCCTTCTGCCAGATCGGATCGGCCGCGCCGTCGAAGCATGTGGAGCCACTCGGTCTCCGGTGTTTCTTGCTGCCGGAGACGCACGCACCCCCTTCGGCGTGAGATCTTCATGTGGTTGCAATCCAGAACTCTCAAGCAGGTTGCGTCATAATGAGATCTCACAACTCTTTCTTTGTGCATTCAAAGGGTATCGCTGCGGTGCCAGGCGCTAAGTCACTGCAGCGCCCCCGTCGTCTGGTCGCCTCGTCGAGCGGGGTCGTGAACGCGCGACGTCTGCCGTGTGCACTGTGCGGCGGAAAGGTGCAGAGCGATCGCCGGGAAGTCGGCCTCGCGAAGCTAAGGCCGTAAGAAACCGAATTTGAGATCCCGGCTGCGCTTCGGAGCCAGACCCCGCAAGTGCTGTTGTGGCCGAGCAGTGTGAAGCGGGCAGCGATGGGGGTGGTGCGTTGCAGTCTACCAGCGAATCCTCGTTTGATGGCCAACGAGCCTCAGTCCCTTCTCAAGCCAGGACGAGGCAGATCATTAGGCCGCCGGGTTCAAACTGAGGTGCTTGTTTCCTGTTCGGTGTTGCCTCCGAGGTCGCCGGATCTTGCAACCGGCTGTGAGCCGAAGATGGACTGCTCCAAGTTCAGATGCAGCACAGCTAGGGCTAGGGGGCTGACATTACTGTCGTCCTGAGACTTTGTGGCGGCGGGGGGCCGGGGCCTTGTTGGATGCGATTTTCGTGGGACCAGGCTTTGTGCTCTGTTAGCACAGCATGTTCGTTCGGCGGCTTGATGTGGACTAACTTGGGACTCTGCCTGAAATGCCGTGACGGTTCAAATCTCATCACTCGCCGGCTTTAAGCAAATGTGACTGTTCTGAAAGTCGACAGCCAGCCGGTCTTGCTGGTGCGGTTTTTTCTGGAGTTGATCCCGAGACGTGCGGTCGCAGTCGGGCCCGGAGCGCTGCAGGTCCTCCAGGGTTCCACATCCTCTTGTGTTCGCAGAGCATGCTGTTGCACGGCCCCTTCCAGCGCGCTTTTTTGCATCCCAACTTGTCTCGCGGCGGGGTACCGGGCCTGTGACATTCGAGATCCACACCGCTTCGGAAAGGTGTCAGAACACTGTCATAGAAGGAAGATCTTAAGCAATCGGCAACCGGGTGCAGAACGAGTGGTCGCAGCCGGAGGCCCTGCACGCACCATCTCGTTTCCAGGTTCGGTAAGCGCATTTGAGCCACGGCCTATACTCAAAGGTTGGGGAAATGGGGTTCTTCTCTTGTTCTAGCGAGCGTAAGAAGGCTCCGATTTCCTTGGCAATCGCAGGTAGAACTTGAGGTGCAAAGGGCTTCTGCAGACCGCTGCTCGCCGCGTCTTGCCGCGAGACTCATGTATTCCGTCCGGAAGTGGGCTGAGCCGCAGATTCGCAGATGGCAGGTCGGGTGCTCACGGCCTGAAGACTGAGACCCCGATCACGTTGCAAGTAATGCCGGGGGAGTTTGGGACGTGCGTGGATGCGTGAGACCGTAGAGGTACAGCTTGTCTGGAGACAGGATGACGAGGCCTTGGTTTCGCAGTGTTGCGAAGCGCTCTCTTGGAGGGCCGAGCTGCAGAGGTTTTGTGGAAGATGGCCGGAGATGTGAGCGTGCCCTTCTCTGCTCTGGCTCGTTCGGGAAGGCACATGTCAACTCCGGGAGCCAGAAATGTTCAAACTTCGACATGCTTTTACAAGGTGCATGCTCGCCAGGCGGCCGCACGGGCAAATTCAGAGCTTGCGATGTGGGTGCCAGCCTTGTGACTTGCGTTTGCTGCCTGTCGGAGTGTTGCACCCAGCACTGACGCCGGGGTCGAACTTGCCGAGATAATTTGCTTCCAGGCTGAGGTCCTGATCCAAAACGCACCGCAAGCTTCCCAAGCAAGCCATTCAGATTTGCCTCCAAAACCCTGGGGTGCATGAGGTTGAATCGACTCCGAGGAATAAAGATGTCAAAGCACAACTCCAAAGAGTTGAGATGCCGCTCTTGCATGCGAAGTTGAGCTGCAGACTTAGCAGGTGTGCCATACCGGTTTACGACGAAGCTCTCTTGGCTCCTGCCGGTGAAGGCCTTCTTGAGGCAGCTTATTCCTTCCCCCCATAGCGTCTTCTCACGCTGCGCGCATCCTCATCCTCGGCCATGCCATGCGAAGTGGCGTGATCTCTTGAGTCCCACTCCCGGCAACAGGTTGCAATCCTCAGCATTGGCTTGCGATTCTGATTGCTGCTTGCCTTCTGCGCACCGAGCCTTCTGTCAAGTTACACGCAGCCTCGAACCCACAAGCTGCTTCAGCCTCGGGCTTTTGCCCGAACATTGCGGTCATTCATCAGGGTGCCATCCTTTTTCGTTCGAATGCCGTTGAAGAAGCTTGGTGCACGCCTAGAATTTAAGTTGGGTTGAAACGCAGCATTTTATCAGGTAAAGCGAATGTTTGAAGGAATCGGGGACGCGTTGTCTTCGACCTATTCTCAAAATTTGCATGGGTAAGATCCACAGTGGTTACTTGATTGAACTTCTGGGATAAACGAAACCTGTAAGTGGGCCGTTCTGGGTAAGCAGAACTGGCAATGAGGGATGAACCTAATGTCGGTGCTTAATTGCACGCTCATCAGACACCAAAAAGGCATTTTGACAACAGGTCACGGAACTCAAAATCCGCTAAGGAGTGTGTAACAGCTCACTCGCCGAATGGACTAGCCCCGAAAATGGATGGCGCTCAAGCGGGCGACCGATGCCCGACCACTGGTGCATTTCTCACCGATGAGTAGGAGGTCGCAGAGGTTGTGGTGCAGCCTCTGGCCCAAGCCTGAGCGACACAGGCTCTGGTGCAGA